AGCATTTTTTAACAATATCAATTTCAAATTTGTATACAATATAAAACAATCCAATCCAATGTAAAGTATTTAAAACTAGTAATTGTCTTTTTTTTCTTTCTTTCTTTTCTTTTTTTTTTTTTAAGCAGAAAGCCAAGAGGAGGGTAAGGTTTTAGCTCTGAGCTCAGACCTCTTGGCTTTTTTCTTTAGTAGGAAAAAATTTCTTCTATGATTTTGTTGAGTATATTTTCTGTGCTTTTGATCTGGAATTCGTCTCCTCCTTCTATCCCTATTATTTTTAGGTTTGGTCTTTCCGTGGTGTCTCAGATTTCCTGGATGTTTTGTGTTAAGAATTTATTAGATCTAACATTTTATTTGACTGATGAATCTATTTCCTCTGTAGTATCTTTAACAATTGAGATTCTCTTTTCCATCTCTTGTATTCTGCTATAGATGCTTGCATCTATATTTCCTATTTGCTTACCCAGATTTTCTGTTTCCAGAATTCCCTCAGTTTGTGTTTTCTTTAATCCCTCTCTTTCAATTTTCAAGTCTTGAACTGTTTCCTCTACCTGTTTGATTGTTTTTTCTTGGCTTTCTTGACTTTCTTTAAGGGACTTATTGATTTCTCCCATTTTTTGTTGGTCTTTTCCTTGATTTCTTTAAGGGAATTTTTCCTTTCCTCTTTCAGGGCCTCTATCATCTTCATGAAGTTATTCTTAAGGTCATTTTCTTCTGCTTCATCTGTGTTGGGATGTTCAGGTCTTGCTGTTGTAGAGTCACTAGGTTCTGGTGGTGTCATATTGCTCTTTATATTGTTGAATGTATTCTTACATTGGTGTATAAAATCTGTTCTTCCAACTGGTGTAGCTGGTACTTGTGCCTATAGGGTCTGGTGATGTTGCAGGAGAGGGCTGTGCACTGACTGGTAGGATGCCGCAGTCAGTGGGGTTGGGTGGTGGTGTGGGTCTTGTGGAGACAGAGTCTAGGGGGTGGCAGTGATGGTGGGGTAACCTGCCTGCAGGTCTCTTACCTGCTGCCTGGCTGCTGGGGCCTGCCTGTTTAGGTTAATTTCAATGTATGTACTCCTGACTTTCCTTTATTAGAGATATATTTGGAAGGAACCCCTTATTCACATAGGTTTGACTGTTGACAGGAATGAATTCCGAATAAATAAGCTTATGAACAGGGTTGCTATGTAAAGAACACGAAACTAAATATTTTTATTAGTGAGAGAAGAAAAGTATCCCCTCCAACTTCATTGTTCTCATTGGCATTATTTTCAGTCTTTTTGGGTGACCACTAATAGATTGCTTTAATCTTTTCTCAGGAAACACAGTAAGCACCACTCAAAAGCAACCCAGCCTCATGGAGAGAAACCAGGAAGAAACCCCGAAGGCCAGACTCCTCTACCAGGAAGTCTGCTTGGCAGCTCAGCGACTCGATTTCTTCCTTCAAAAAGGAAATGCCCATAAAGAAGTGTTCAAGCCACACATCCTGGCTCTCAGAGAGATGGTTCAGCAAGCCTGCATCAGACTCATGTTCCTCCATCCGGTGGTTTATGGTAGGAAGGCTGAAGAGCTCTTATGGAGGAAAATATACTCTGATGTTGTCATGCTGCTCATGAAGACCAATAAGAAACAAATGGACACTTTCCAGCACTGGGGAGGGCCTCTACAGGCTCATCTGAAGGCTGGCCTCAGGTTCTATGAGCATCTCTTCCTGTTCCTTCAGGGTCACTATGAGCTGAGGTTGCAGAGTTACATAGACTGGCCTCACAGCGCTATCCACTTGATTGGCTGTAAGAAAGTGGGGCCCACATCAGCAGAAGAGGCTTCCTGGGCCCGCATGGCCTGTCATCGCTGCCTGCTCTACCTGGGGGACTTGTTTCGCTATCAGCACGAATTCTTAGACCTGGCCACCAAGAACTTGGCAGAGAGATGCTATTACAGAGCCTTGTCAGTGGCCCCGCATATGGGAATGCCCTTCAACCAACTGGGCGCTCTCGTGGGGAGTAAGTATTATGACCTCGAAGCCACCTACTTCTATCAACGCTGTCTCCACTCTGAAGTGCCTTTTAAAGGAGCAGCTTGGAACCTCAAACGGCTCTATGATCACGCCGGAAAGAGGTACAGTTGTCTGAAGAGGTACCAGGGAAGGAAACTGACTCATAGCCAGAGGCAGTGTTGGGACAACAGAAGGCTGCTGGTTAGCTTCCTCTACCTGCAGAGTCTCTTGCAGCCTAAGAGGAAATTCAAAGCCGCAAGGCTGATAGCCCTGTGCCAACTGGTTCTCGAAGACTTTCGTCTCTGTCTTTCCTATCGGCCCTGTCAATCAGGCCTATGCCAGGCTTCCCCAGAAGAGAAACCTCCTAAAGGGTATCTGTTTCTCCCGGACTTCCTCATCTTCCACATGGTGGCTCTTTGCCTCATGAATGTGCACAGCCTGAGGAAATCAGGCTCAAAACAGCAAAAACCAGCTGTCATCTTCACCTTGACTCTTTTCTCTCACCTAGTACAACATGTGAACACACGGATCCAGGCTGAGCTGCAGAGGAGGAAGCTGAATCCAGAAGAGGCTTCTTCTGGCGATGGATGCTGGGAGAAAGAGTCTGGGAAGCAACATCAAGATTTTCTGTCTCCTGGGCTCCAGAACAGCAACTCTCAGAAAGGCCACGGGTGGTCTGGTATTTCTAGGGAGAGCGAGGCTGGTTTTCATTCTGATTACGACTCAGATGAGACAGAGGAAGAGGAAAACTCATCCTTAAGTTCCCGGGTCCAATCAGACACAAGCAGTGAAGCGTCCCACTCAGACACAGCGGACGAAGAAGGAAGTGGCTCCTTGAGTTCAGATGCAATTCAGAAAAGCAGAGGTACGTCCAAACCTAAAGCTGCTCATTCCAGAAACAAACTGAAGTCGTACATACCTCCCGACAGTCTCCTTGATCTCTTGAAAACAACTCTATCCTCTAGCCTGCCAGCGCCTTTGAGCCAAAAACTCCAAGGAAAACATGGCTTGCCCTTGGCTTCCGTCTTTAGTCATAACGTTCTGACACCCCAGTCTGAGCCAAGCCCTGCTGTCAGCCGTTCTTTGTGCACGGAGGGTGAGATGAGCAGCTTTCCTGATGCGGAGTTCTACATGGATTCCTCCTGGGAGCAGAAGCCCTCCACTTCCCAGAACAACAATCTCCAGACCACTCAATGGAAACTGGACATTCTTTCTGCAGAGGGACTGTTGCCTACCATCAAGGTGATCCTGAGCTGGCTCCGCAGCAATCACAGCATCCTCTTGTCACATTGGAGGAGTGTGTTTAGCTTGTGGGACCACCTCTGTGTGTTGCTGAACCTGTTGCCCTCAGTGGGAGACCTTCAGCATCCAGGCCTTGGCCTGTCTCACCATCTCCAGGAGTTGCTACAGAGCTGGCCACACACTCCCAAGTACCTTCAGCTCCCCGAGGACACTGCCATGTTCCAGCAGCCTCCTTCTCAAGTGTCTCAGGATAGGGTAGGCTTCGGGCAGGATCCACCTCCGCTCACCAGCCAGGAGGAAGTTATCGTCCGTATCTGTTTCTTCAGGAATTTTGGTCACTTTGCAACTAGACTCCCCGGACAGTTCTTGAGCTTTGATTCCAAGCTGGGTGTCTTTGTGAGCAGTACCCTTGGAAGGTCAGAAGATCCACCTCAGCAGCTTCCAAGAACAGCTGCACGAATCAGGTTTTCCAAAGACATAGTCCAGCTTTGGCTTCAGAGGGAAGTGGCACTGCTAGAGAAGACCCTCCGAGGTCCCCAGACTCGGTCAGTGTTGACCCCTTACCTCTTCCCTGACCCCAGGGCCCTCTGTGAGCATCTTTCAGTGATACAGAAACTAGCCACTAGTGCTAAGTTTTTTCTTATCATACCCAAGGTTGTGGTTGACACATTGTACATCCTAAAATGGGAGGATCGCAGAGCCTTGGCTGCCATCACTTTCCTAGAAGATGAGTTAAAGAGAAGGAACCAGTACATTCTCTGCCAGTCCTTTGTGTCCAAGAGGTTGGTGAGGCCCAGGATGACTAGACAAGACTCTGATGCCTGGGACCTCTACAATATTCTTGAGTTCTGCAAAAGCCTGCTGGACTCTTCCAGGCCAGGGATATTGGATCCCAGCAGCATGGTGACTATCATTACTGGTGTCTGTTTGGATCATCCTAGGAATTTCTCATACCCACTGCAGTTGGTACTGGGGATGGCAACGGAAGCTGGTGTGGAAATCAAGAACATCCTGAAATTCCACAGAGAATGGAAAGTGATCAGTTGACATGTTCACATCTTCCTGCCCCTTGTCCTTCAGTGCTTATCGCTCAAATTAAGTGTGTTTCTTTGTCATAAGCACCTAATGCTGAGGTAGGCAGTGTGTTCTTGGAGTATATGTGTCTACCTGTAGGTAGAATGTAGTGTGTCAGCTTTCAGAGGCCTTCCTGTGTCCTTCGTGGCCATCTTAGCTCTGTATTATGCTTCCTCTGATATAAAGCTCAAGATTAACTCATTGTTAAGTGATCTTATGGCAAAGCAGCAAATTCAGACATCACTTCAGTGTCCAAATACAGCTTTGTGGATGGTCTGTGATTTACTTAGCTCTGTTTTGTGACACACAACTTTTATGTATATTGTTTTGTTATGGTGGGCTCAGGTCTGCTATTGAAGGCATGTCTCTGCCATCTATGAAACTCAATAAATATAAAGTTAAAAATTTCATGATGCTGGTAATGAACTTTATTGATATTCCTGGTCATGTCTAAGTAAGCATGACTGAAATAGCCCCCCAGGATTGGCAGATTCCATTCTTCTTTAGGTAAGTTGAGAATGCCTATCACAATACTAGCCTTTTGACCTACACCTGCTGAAAGATTTTCAACTTCTCTTTTTGTGGAATTATTCCTTGCTTTTTCATGGCTCCAAGATATCTTTTGGGAGCTGTTCTCAATCTTCTGCTTCACATGGAATCAACTAGAGTATGTACATGAATTTCTAAACAGTCTTATTAAATAAGAAACACAGAGTCAAATATAGGAGTAAAAGCATTAGAGATCAGGGAAATAGTGATAGCCACCAACCTTACCTCTCTAGCTCTGCATCTACCAAAAGGGGCTAATTCCTGTCTTACCCACACCTTTATTGCCTTGCTGCTCTGCCCTCTCACTGGCTCTTAGCCCAGCTACCTCACTTCCTTGTCACTGCCTGTCTGTACAGACCTCTAGGTTTCTATGGTTGGTACTGAGGAGACACGCTTGGCTGTTCCCTAATGTGTCCTTGAACACACAGTGACCCTGCCTGCCACGTGATCAGATTAAGGGCATGTGCTACCATTGCCTGACTTCTATGTTTACTAAAATGACTTGCTATTTTCTCTGATCTCCAGGCATGCTTTGTTTATTGACATACAAATAAAGTATCACCACAAGAGTATTCTTTCAGGATTCCACATTATGGAGGTATTCCTTCCCTCTGTCCTATGACCTCCTTATAAATGCAGCTTCCATCCAGTTGGCCCCCACACATGCAGATAATGCCCACACTTAGCTTCTTCCTCACTCCTACATTCTTATCATATTTCTTTGTAGTTCAATCTCTCCGTCAAACTTCCAGTTCTTCCACCATCTCAAGTTTTAAACTGCTTTCACATTTTATTATATCCATTAGGAAAATTTTAGCAAATTAAAAATAAACTCAAGTAACATCTCACTTGAACTTCCCATTTCTTATATTTTATTTATACTCCCATTCTTCTCCTGAATACATAGCTTTTTTAAAATCTATAATTAATATTGGATAAGGGTATTTTGTGTGTGTGTGCATATTTGTGTGTAAGGCTATGCACTCCTGTGCCATAGCACATATGTGGAGGTCAGGGGATAACCGCAGGTGTTGGTCCTTATCTTCGACTTTAAGACAGGGTCTTTTGTTATTTGCCACAACATACCTCAGGCTAACTGACCTATGAACTCCCAAAGGTTCTCCCTTCTCTCTTCCCAGCTCATGAACTGTTGCATGTGACTTTAAATGGGCTCAGCAGAACCAATATTTGGTTCTCATCATTGAAATCAAAGTGCTTTAACTATCAAAACTTCTCTCCAGCCCCAGATAAGCATCTTTTCAGCCTACTTCAAATTACAAACATTTTATATAATTATATTTACTTATTTGTCTCCTTAAATAGCTGCTTTCTATTAGTGTTTAAGTATTTTTCTTTCCCAACTTTTAATATTAAGTAATTAATCATATGATTAGGATTTTTGTTATCTTTTGAATTATTTTCATGATAGATGAGCAGAATCTTTTACTAGGTAAAATATATACATATGGTAGGTGTAGTACATGCTTTCAGTACCAGCACTGGGGAGGCAGAGGCAGGATCGTGTGTTGGAGAACAGTCTAAGGTACACATCAAGATGCTGTCTCAAAAGAAAACAAAAAGGGATATCAAATATTAAATAACTTATATTACAACAAATATTATTAACTTACATGGATATTAAGTTTTTAAGATTCGTTGTCATAGAATATTGTTTATTTTCAAAGAGAAAAGACACATTTTATAAAGTTTTATATCACATAGTTTTCATCAAGTGTATTATGATAATTTTCTTACCTCTTATATTAAAATGATCATTATATGGAAATGTAATATATAATCTCCTATTTTTGGCATTTGTTTTTAAAACTTTTGTGTTCCATTATAAATGATATAAACAAATTATTGCATATATCCTCGATCATTAGAATAAATTCCTAGAGGTAGTGTTGCAGGCAAGGGGAATTGAACCTATAGTGTTCCATATATTCAGGAAAGAAGTTTTTTTTTTTTATAAGCCAACAAACTTCAAATTCTCAGATATAGTTTTGAAGGCATCTCCTTTAGCCCATGATATCTATGTAATTCCAATAAGTCTGTTACATCTGTGGACAGTTTCTAACTCATTCACCTTTATTTCAATTAATGGAGCAGTGGACCCTTGTCTGGAAATTGTGTTCACTTTGTTTTTGTTGTCTCTCCAGTTTGGTCTGAGCATAAGCAGGTCTTCTTTGTAGCTGAAGTTTTCCTGTGTCCCACCCAGTCTGTAGCTGCTCAGACCCAAATAAACACACAGAGGCTTATATTAATTAAAACTGTTTGGCCAGTAGCTCAGGCTAACTACTGACTAGCTCTTACACTTAAACTCAGGCCATTTCTGTTAATCTATATGTTGCCACATGTCTTGTGGCTTTACCTGTATGCCATTACATGCTCCTCCCTGGATGGCGGGCTGGTGACGCCTGACTCAGCCTTCCTCTTCCCAGAATTCTCCTTGTCTGCTTATCCTGCTTATACTTCCTGCCTGGCTTCTGGCCAATCAGCATTTTATTAAACCAGTGTACAAAAGTATTATCCCACAGGACTGATTCAAAGCACTGGAAGAGCCTAGAAGAGCAAAGCAGAGAAATGCCACACACATAAAAATGACCCAAAACATTGCTTTGCTGTTGAGGTAACTTTCTCTGTATCTTAGGCTGGGCTTCTCAATAGTGCTGGCCATGTAAACCTTACTATCTTGCCTAACTAGGAGTGGTAAGGGAATGAAGAAAGGCCAGACACAGGCACAGAAAAGCTGGCATCAGGTGGCCTGTGTCTGGCACCCTGATGGAGAGATTAACTCCTTCTACACCTGGGAACCTCAGGCATGGTGGGGAGGGGTTAGCTACTCTTGGTGGGCGGTTTCTCTAGATGAGCATTCTCAGGTTTTAACAATCCAGGAAGAATAAGCAGCAGTTGATAGTTTTCACGAAAACCTGGTCAACACTTTATAGACACTTACACTTGGACCAAAGGAAGATCCATGTTGAGCCTGACCCAGGAAGGCTTTGCCACTTCCATCAGTCTGAGGCTGTGTCCATGTCAACAATACACATGCACTCAGGGCTTCCTCTGATTCCCACACCACCTCAAAGTCATAACCCTCCTATCTCAGCCTCCTGAATGCTGGGATTACAGGGACCTCCCAGCATGGTAAACTATATTTTCTTTTTTCCCCTTCACACTATGAACTACATATTACTATACTTTATTTCCTCTGCCCTCCATTTACATGTTATGGCTGCTTCTAGATATCAAGAACAACTGACTTCTTCCTGAACTGCCAATAAGCTCAAGCCTGCCATATTTTAAAAGGCTTCAACTATTCCAAACAGTCACACATACCTTTTTTTGGACTTGTTTCTCCCTTAAATTTTCTGTTTCCCCAACAAAGGTTAATCTAGTAAGTTACATTGACTTGCTTCACTTTCTTCTTAGATGTTTTTTGAACACTACATGGTGGCTTCTGTATCCAAGGCTCTGTTGGAAATTCCCTCATTAACAAGGTAAGTTCCATGCAGAGCAGTTGATGAATTTAAATTCTTTATATGAATGGGGACAAAGTGCAAGAGTAAGTGCTTGATTCTCATTCATGAGGGCCCATGTTTAATTCTCAGCAAAAGTTTTCCCATCCATTAGCCTGGACACTCTTCAAAGGAAGAAGAATCAAGCTTGTTATTTTTGTTCCTCTAACATTTCCCCCAGTTTCTCATGTTCATCAGTGTTTGTTTGATAGATGTTTCACACACAATTCAACATCTTGCCCCAAGAAACACAGCTTTAGAGCTCAGAAATCCACTGAATTTTAAAAGAGGAATCTTTTGAATCATTCAGAGAACACATGGAGTTTCAGAGGGTTCAGTCCACGGTTGCTTTATCCCTGGTGCTTGAACAGAAAATCATTGTGGTGGGAGTTTGTGCCACCTCCCAGGGGAATGGGAAGTCATGACATGATTTTCTGAAAAAGGCAGAGTTGTTCAATGCATGAAAGATTGTCATCAGAAAATGCTTCTGCTTCAAAGGTCATGAAAGATGACCTTCCATGAGACAACTGTTTTCTAACTTTCTTCTTACTCTAGAGTGTAAGAAGGAATCATATTTGTATAGATGAGTAAAGGGAAGTCAGTGCAAAACCCTGCAGCTACTCAGTGACTTAACTCATATTCCATTCTAGATATATGTAGCTGTCAATCTGTTATAAGCAGGTCTCGATCATGTGTCCGCACCAAAAGCTTATGATAGTCAATGATGTCTTATGATGTCTCTGTGAACGTCAGGGATAACTGAGAGATCAACTTGAGGAGAACAGGGAACAGCTGCCTTTTTGCCCTATCCTATTGTTCTACCTTTATTTACTGTCTCAGGGTATGCAGAATCATTGCAACCATGACAGTGGATTTCATTTGTGCCTTGAGATGATATTAACCTAAGAAGAAATTCTTTTAGGTGTGAAGACACTGGGTTGTCTTTACATGGGAAATTTTACATTTTGGTTAGAATAAGTTTGGAGGTAACTTATGTTTAGATAATAACTACAGCTAGATAGCTCATATGTGTGTGTGTGTGTGTGTGTGTGTGTGTGTGTGTGTGTGTGTGTGTTTGCTATAGTGTATAAACTTCTGCCTTACAATTTGTGTCATATAGGAACAGGAAAACTATACTATTGTTGAGTCATATATTTTGACCAATAAGTTCCCTTATGAATTTAAACCTTATATTTTCATTTGCTTTCTCTGTATCTCTGCTGAATTTTTCCATATACCTAAAATTTAATATATTAAGAAATAAAATTATTGTTTCTACCATTATTAGCTTATTTCCCCTGTAGGCTTTGTAAGTGACATTACCTGTTTGAATAGTCATT